CGACATAGGTAAATGACACATCCAAACATGATAATCACAACAGGTGTGTCATGTAACAACATGACTACATTCCACACTCATGATGTGCTTGCGGCTGTTTCGCTAGCTTCACGCCTGCCAATTTTAATATTACGTGACGTCTATGGATGACGAAGACATGTGACTGGTTCAAACATGATATTCATGAGTTTTGTATCATGTAAGAACATGACTACATGCCACAGTCAAGGAGCCAATACACTTCAACGTGACCCGGCTCGCATGCGCGCCGGCGTTCCTTTCGTCGCGTCACGCCGGTGTTGCCACGCCAGGCGCCAGTCCTGCCATATACTCGCAGACACGCGCTGCGTTGCTTTGACGCATGCGCGTTTGAGCACGTCCGGCGTGCCTCCGTCTCGAAAAGAAGCAGACGCAGTGCTGTCTTGGTAACGCATTGGCGCCAAACGCAGCATGTCGCATTTCGTGCCGGTTGCTGTCGGGCCGCGCCGACGGACGCTGGTCGCACCGGTCGCGCTTGGCGTCAGACCATAGGGTGCTCATGTTTTGCTAACGTAGCTTCGCTGTGCCTAGCTTGCGATCGCGTCAACGTCACGTTGGAGTATATTGGGCCCTTCATGATTCACTCGAGGCCGTTTTGCTAGCTCCACATATACCAAATTTGGTGTTACGTGACGTGAATGAATGAGGAAGGTATATGATTGGTGCAAACATGATAATAACGAGACGCGTGTCATGTAAGAACATGACAACATACCACGCTCACAGCGTGCGCACGGCCGCTTGACTAGCTCCACATATACTAAAGTTGCATCACGTGGCGTGAATAGATGACGAATGTAAACGACTCATTCAAACTTGATAATCGTGACACGGAAGTTGTTTACGGCATAATTTACCTCTACCCCGCAACGTTGAGGTGATTTGAAAGTGGCATATCAAGATTTCTCATTCGTGCTTCGCATACAGTGGAATCCCACTGTACGTGGGATCTGGTAATTTTTTTTTCTGTGCAATCTCTTGGCATATATTTTACTACATCAGTAGAGCCGACTTAAGTAAAACGACGTATTATTTTACTACGTGACGGAAATAAGTCAGCGGAGCCGTGGTTTACCCCAGCATAAAACATTTTCTTCAAAAAAGCAAGAAAGGGGATTATAAGTTTGACCTGAAAAGTTCGCCAACAAGGGATATTTTTCGTAGACTGACGTTTCGACTAAAGTACTTTTCTTCTGCAAGGATGTAACTTGAAGTTGCAGCCTGGAAGAAAGGCAAGTACTCCTGCCAAACGTTGGCTTCAACATAAACTGTTTAAGAATTTTTCATCCCACGTTGACATGCCACTTGTGACGCACCACATGGTGACGTCATAGAAAGACGTCATTACTGACTTGTGTTTTCTTCCCGCCTTATTGACCTCCGTGTTTTGCTCAAAGGGCTTCCGAACCAGACGAATAGGACTTTAAAGGCCCTAAATGAAAGGAAGGAGTGTGCACCGAAAACAAACGAGGGATGAATAGGGAACAGAAATAACCGGCCCGCCATCACGGGTGCGTGCTTACCAACGCTGTACTGCGAGTCCTCCGCTGAAAGAAGAAAAACAGTATTTGGATGTTAGCTGCCGTATTAAATGAAGGCTCATTTAGACACGAGTGAGTTCTTAGGCACGAAAGGACCACCTTTATACTCACCCATGATTTTGTCCCTGTCTAGCTGCTTGTGTTTCGAGACTTGCTTAGGAGCTCAGCGCCGCGTAGTGGTCGATGCCTTCACAGCGCCACCTTTGCGGGAAAAGATGTTAAACAGAGAAATAAGAGAAAACAAAGACTGAATATCTAAATTGACAATGAAGGTAGAAAAGCACGTTAATGTTCGAAATCTCGGTACGTGTTGCACTGCTTTTTAATTATGTGACGAGAAGCGAGATCCGGAGCTGATATTGATCATAAGCGTTGCTACGACGACTGATGTAAGATAAGGTTCTGATTGAGGGCCACAGCATGCACGAGATTGTTTTCTGCGTTCATAGGTATATATATGAAGGGTTTAAAATACTGAAACCACCATATGACTATGAGAGACTCCGTAGCGGAGAGCTTCGAAAATTTCGACCACCTGGGGTTTTTTAACGTGCATTACCCAAATCTGAGCACACGGGCCTACAGCATTTCCACCTACATAAAGTATGTAGCCGCTGCAGCCAAGATTCAATCTCACGACCTGCGGGTCAGCAGTCGAGTACCTTAGCCACAAGGCCACTGCGGCAGAGATTTTCCTCGTTCGTACCGGAACAAGCACAGCTGTCGCTCTAAAGCAATCGCCCACATTCCCCGTAAACGGAACTCACAGTAGTATACGCGAAGCAGCCATGGGTCGACTTAACGTTCTGTAAAAAGATGCTCTTTATTATACATCGTAAGCGTTCACGAATGCGTTTCCTACATGATATACTTTAGGCTTCGACGTCTGCAGATCCACTGACTTTACTGACCACAAGGGTCAGTTTGCCTGCGCTGCAGCGTCTCGGTCCAGCTTCTCGAGCTCTCAACTCCGGGTCTTTCCGGCGCTGCCAACCTGCAGCTGCTTCGCAAGCAGTCGCCTCCGCTGCACTCATGCTCATGTGTTCATTCACACAACTACGCTGCGTGTCTCTGAGAGAGAACAGTAAGCGCTTTTATTATATAGGGCAGCGCAGTGCCGCTGGCAGTCTCAACTGATACCAGAGCACGCGCAGGACTGGAGAGAGCGCTGTACGTCAGTGACATCTAATCGGTGCTCCGTTGGCTAGAATGACTACTATGACGGACAAGGGACAAGCCTCGATCACAAACTGCTTCACATCTAAAACACCCGCTTTTCGACTACTAGCGGCCGTTCGCCACGCAACTGTGACCGCGGTCAGCAAGCAACATGGGAGCGCCAGAAGATTTTGTGAGCGACTTCGATTACTTAGACGCGTGAACTGGAACAATCTCCTTAAAGAGTTCACTGATCTTTTACGATGTGTAAAATCCCGACAAGCAACCATTTTGTACATTCAGGCCATGGAACGTTACCCTTGGTGGGCACATCGATGGATGATTCCCTTTCAAATATTGCAGGGGGTTTCAGATAACCTGTACCCGCTACACTTCTATTGTGACAACAATTCTATGGACACTCTTGGTTGATTTTGCATCGCCGTCATGTCGGGGATATATATATATATATATATATATATACACATATATATATATATATATATATATATATATATTATATATATATATATATATATATATATATATATATATATATATATATATAAGGGAAAGAAGTGTATACCTATGGGCTCGTTTTTCCGTGTTTTGACACAATGTTAATGAGATCTAACAGACAGTAATTGTCTGTTAGATCTAATATATATATATATATATATATATATATATACGGGGCACCACTAATGAACAAAGAGGACAATGTTTAGGGCGAGCTCGTGCAGACTGGGCTCCATATTGTGTGCCTGCCTGTTTATCTAAAGTAAAGGTATTTTTTCAGATGCCTTCTCCCCGTAACATTTTGGTGGGGCGTGGTGGTCTTCTTAAATTCAACATTCACGATGATTCTACGCAGCGGACGTTCCTTGGCCGCCTGTGCGATGCCTGATCAAGACGAGAACGAGGATTCTTCGGAGACTACCCCAACCGTGCTTCGTCCAACTGCGCAGCAACCAACAGCACCGCCTCCAGCCGCTACTAACCGCACCGTCGTCCTGACCCAACCGCGTGACTCAGGCATCTTTTCGGGCAGTGACAGTACTGACGTGGAGGAATGGATTCAGCTGTACGAACGGGTGAGCGCTCTGTACAACTCGGATCTGACGCTCATGTTGGCCAATATTATTTTCTACCTTGATGGTACAGCTAAACTTTGGTTTTCCAACCACGAGGAAGATATCACGAGTTGGGACATCTGTAAACAGAAACTCATCGATCTCTTCGACAAGCCCATTGGTCGTCGTCGTGCTGGCCAGAAAGAACTAGCGTGCCGCCTACAGTCCTGCACAAAGTCGTACGTTACATACATACAACATGTGCTCGCCATCTGCCGGAAGGTTGACGACAAGATGCAGGAATCTGAAAAGGTTACGCATATGCTCAAAGTAATCGCGGATGACGCCTTCACTCTCCTCGTGTTTCGAAACTCATCGACCATAAGCGACGTTGTTAATGAATGCTGACGCTTCGAAGACACGAAACGTCGTCATATCACTCCATACTTTTCGCGTCTTCCCAACACAGCTGCAACATCTACCTGCGAGGACGCCCGTTTGCCACCAGCCCCTGCTACTTCCGACAATATTGTGCGCATCGTGTGCCACGAAATCGAGGCAGCATCTCCCCTGTCTGACCAAGTCCGGGCCCCTGACGACTCTTGCGCCATGATTTCTTTTGTCAAGAGTGTTGTGCGCCAGGAGCTGAAAACGCCGGACTTCGGATGCTATGCCCCGTTGACCGACCTGGCTACCAACTGCCCAGTACACCTAATATATCCCGCGGACCAAACAACCGCCCACGTTACCAGAACACAGCAGAAGGGCGAACTTCTGATGACAGGCTGATCTGCTTCAACTGTGAACGAGTCGGCCATATTTCACGCCATTGCCACACTTTCTGGAATTGGCAGCCATGGTCGCATTATGCCAACACCCGACGCTCACCTGCTGGTTCTCGGATACCGATCCACGAGGAACAAGACGATGCTTCACCATCCAGGACTGCCCAACCGAACCGCTCCCCGTCGCCCTGTGGACGCATGTCCCGCTCAACTAACTGACGTCGCTCCCCCTCACCCTCCTACCGCCAGTCCTCGGAAAACTGACGGGCGCAGCTCCCAGAGGTGAGCTTGCTTCGACGACTCGAGCCGAAATTCCTCTACACACGATACCCAGACACAACAACTTGATTAAAGTAAATGTTGACGGTACTTCTGTGGCAGCACTCATTGACACCGGCACTCACATATCAGCCTTTGTGCTCGACTCAAGAAAGTACTCACTCCTGTTCGGATCACTGTTGTCCGAGTAGCCGATGACGCAACACCAGTGGTCACTGGGATGTGTGCTGCCCGCGTCACTGTTGCTGGCCGTCATACCACGGTTCTGTTTTACGTACTGGACCACTGCCCACATGACATCATATTGGGACTCGATTTTCTGTCGGAACATTCCGCCCTAATTGACTGTTCTGCTGGTGTTGTTCAGCTCGTCCTACCACACGCCGTTGACCCTCCTGATCCTGCGCCGCCAAAGCTATGCTCCGCCGACTTTGTTCGCCTATCTTGTCGAGCTGTGTCGTATATCGACGTCTCTTCTGATCCACCTGTGGCTGACGGCGATTATGTCATTTCACCTAATCCTACAGTACTTTGTTCGCTCAATGTTGCGTTCCCTCACACCATCATCACAATGAAGAACAACGTGGCATGTCTCCCTATTGTGAATTTTGGACTTTGCTCTGAAGTGCTGCCACGAGGAATATCCCTTGCAACCCTTGCCCCGGCCGGCGACTTCCACATATCGGCCTTAACAGAGGATACACCGTCATCTACAAGTATTCAGTCGCGCAGTACACTAGACTGCATAACTGGAATGATTGCCTCTGATCTCCCGGCCGAGCATGTGTCTGCGCTTCGTGGCCTTCTTGCGTCGTATGAAGACGTATTTGATCTATGCGACCGACCCCTAGGTCAAACGACCGTCGTAAAACATAGGATCAACACCGGTGATGCAAATCCAGTACACCGGCGACCCTATCGAGTTTCCTCCACCGAGCGCCACGTGATCCAGCAAGAAGTCGACAAGATGCTTGCCCGAGACATCACTGAACCTTTTTCAAGTCCTTGGGCTTCGCCCGTTGTGCTTGTGAGAAAGAAAGATAACAGCTGGCGCTTCTGTGTCGACTACAGAAATCTTAACAAGGTTACGAAAAAAGACGTGTATCCTCTGCCGCGGATAGACGACGCTCTTGACTGCCTTAGTGGCGCAAATTATTTCTCTTCCATCGACCTTCGTTCCGGGTACTGGCAGATATCAGTTGATGACCTGGACCGTGAAAAGACGGCATTTATAACTCCCGACGGGCTCTATCAGTTCAAAGTAATGCCGTTCGGTTTATGCAATGCCCCGGCTACATTCGAACGAATGATGGACGCTCTTCTTCATGGTTTCAAGTGGTCAATCTGCTTATGCTACCTTGATGACGTCATTGTTTTTTAGCCAACTTTCGAAACACACCTCGAGCGTCTCTCAATAATTCTTTCGGTTTTCCGCAAAGCAGGGCTCCAACTAAACTCGTCGAAGTGTCACTTCGGCCATCGGCAGCTCACTGCCCCTGGACACCTTGTCGATTCTTGTGGTGTTCGTCCCGATACTGAGAAAGTTCGCGCCGTCAAGGATTTCCCTGTGCTGACCACTGCGAATGACGTTCGAAGCTTTGTGGGCTTTTGTTCTTACTTTCGTAGATTTGTGCGGAATTTCGCCGACGTCGCCCACCCGACCACGGAACTACTATAAAAAATTGTGACTTTTGTGTGGGGACCTGAACAAGCCAGAGCATCCGTTGAACTGATGACCAGGCTTACGACACCACCGATTCTCGGCCACTTTGATTTATACGCTCCAACGGAAGTGCGTACCGATGCCAGCGGCCACGGAATCGGAGCCGTTTCGGCACAATGACAACATGGCTTCGAGCGCGTTATTGAATACGCTACCCATCTTTTATCGCCAGCACAACGAAATTACTCCATCACCGCGAATGCCTTGCGCTCGTCTGGGCAGTGGCTAAATTTCGGCCATATTTGTATGAACGCCCGTTCACGGTTGTCACTGATCACCACGTGTTGTGCTGGTTGTCATTCTTAAAAGATCCTAGTGGACGTCTCGGCCGATGGGCTCTACAGCTACAGGAATTTTCCTGCACGGTTGTATACAAATCAGGCCGCCACCATGAGGATGCTGATTGCTTGTCGCGGCATCCAGTAGACCCAGCAGACCTTTCTGGGAGCGATGAGTCTGCTTGCGTTTTGGAACTTTCCGCGTTTAGCAACATCGGAGGTCAGCAACGCCGTGATCCTCACCTCGGAGATATAATCCTTCGGCTCGGTGGTCCCCCAACTCCTCCGTCGCTCCGTATGTTCCTGCTTCAAGATGTCGTATTATATTGCCACAGCATGCATCCTGACGGACCTGAGCTGCTGCTGGTCATACCACAACATATGCGTCAGACTGTCCTCGAACAGTTGCATATGTTATTCCGACAGCTGGTCACCTGGGAGTTTCAAGAACTTATGGCCGCGTTCGACGTCACTTCTTTTGGCCCGGTACCGATCGGTCTGCCGTTACGTCGCCTCATGCAAATCCTGTCAACGCTGCAAAAAACCAGCAATCCTTCCAGCGGGATGCCTTCAGCCTATTCAGATCCCATCAGAACCATTTCGTAGGGTAGGTCTTGACTTACTAAGACCATTCCCTTTATCGGCCAGCGGAAACAAGTGGATAGCAGTCGCCACGGATTACACCACTCGGTATGCCATCACGCGGGCCCTTCCTACCAGTTGTGCGACCATCGTTGCTGACTTTCTCCTAGAAGACGTCACACTACACCACGGCACTCCTCGGCAACTGCTTACTGATCGGGGTCGCTACTTTTTATCATAAGTCATCCAAGACATATTACACTCTTGCGCTACAAAGCACAAGTGCACAACGTCGTATCACCCTCTAATCAACGGGCTCACAGAGCGGCTAAATAGAACCACCACGGACATGCTCGCCATTTACGTTTCTTCCGATCATCGTGACTGGGACTCCGCCCTCGCCTTTGTGACATTTGCTTATAATACGTCCCGGCATGATACTGCAGGTTTCTCGCCATTTTTCCTTCTGTATGGATGAGAACCCACGTTGCCTTTTGGCACGCTCGTTCCTGCCGTTAGCCACACGTCAGAATATGCCCGAGATGTGGTCTCTAGAGCTCTAGAGGCACGTGAGGTTGCTCGCCTGCGTCTTAGCGATTCGCAGGAACGACAACGACTGTTAATGAAGCTATTTTAACCGATTGCTTCTATATTTGGATTGGTAGCCATTTTAGAATGTATTATTATTATTGCGACATTTCAGAACTAGTACCACAACTTTCACATTGAAGGTTTTCGTTATAGTTTCTAAATAAAAGTTTATTAGGCAATATCTGCTAATTACCTAGCTTGGTGAATAGAAAGAAGCTATTCTGGTGTGCTGCGTCCGCGTCAGCGCCGATCGATTCGACTCGCGCAGCGGTTGTGTTTTGTATTGACGAAGGTTAGCTGAAACACCCAGCATGCATACCGGTGATGTGGGAGTCACCGAAGGTACAGTCGGGGTCACGTGAGAACTCGGCCCTCAGCCATCACCCTTAGCTGTCTTGGACATAATGTTACGGAGTGAGTGACTTCTGTATAAACGCAATTACAGAGGAACAACCTCAGGAGAGAATCACAATGGCTGATTGGCGCCGCTGATGGCGATTGGTTACGTGATGACAAAGGCCATGCCAACCAGTTGCGCCACTGACGTCGCGGATTTTCTTCTTCATGACGTGATCTTACACCACGGTGCACCCCGACAGCTGCTTACAGACCGCGGCCGCTCTTTCTCGTACAAAGTTGTCGACGACCTCCTTCAATCATGTGCCACGGCAGATAAGCATTCTACCGCCTACCACCCACAAACTAATGACCTAACTGAACGTCTCAGCCGCACGCTCACAGAGATGCTTTCGATGTACGTCTCCGAAGATCATCGTGACTGGGACACCACGTTGGCCTATGTGACTTTCGCATATAATTCATCTCTACATGACACTACGGGATTCTCACCTTTTTACCTTTCCTTTGGTCGCGACCCCATATTGCCATTTGAAACCACCTTGCCTCTCAAGCCATCTGCTTCCGAATACGCTCGCGAAGCCATTGATCGGGCTCACATGGCTCGTCAAGTTGCCCAGCCTCGTCTCGCCAGGTCACAGGATATGCATAAAGCCCGCTACGACCACCGGAATCGTAATTTAACGTTTGCCCCAGGTGATCGCATGCTCCTTTGGTCATCATGTCGCCGTGTAGGTCTCCCCGAAAAACTTTTGTCCCGACACGCAGGACCCTACCTAGTCTTACGTCAAGTTAGCGACGTCAACTACGAGATAGTGCCATTGCACTCCAATACGTCACCAAGTTCGTCACTTGTGGACATTGTCCGTGTTTCGCGCATGAAACTCTACTTCTGTCGCACTTCAGACTCGCGCCGAGACGGCGCACCATTGCCCGGGAGTCCTGTTACGGAAATGAAGTAATGGAAGAGGAAGGACAGAATCAGCTGACAGGCGCGCGAGTGGGCCAATCAGCCATTGTGATTCTCGCCTGAGGTTGTTCCTCTGTAATTGCGTTTATACAGAAGTCACTGACCCCGTAACAATATAAAGCAATAAGGGGGTCTGTGAAGAATTAAGCCTCAGAGCGCATGGCCAAGTTTGGCTTCGCAGACATTTCCACGATGGCTTGCGAAGATTATCGAAGTAACGATAGCTAGCTCTCACCTGCACGAGATACGAGTAGCGAAAGACCAACGTCGAGACGAGAGCGACTGGCTAGACGCCTCTCTCCTCTTCACAGCAACACTGTCCTCCGGCACACTGTAGATACAAAACGTCCCTCGGGCCGCCAGCGTTGGCGCACGAGCGTTCGCGAGCTGGACCATAGGTTCAGCACCTGCAACTTTCAGCCTCGAACCCACTATGGAGGCAAATGTGGCAGGGTGGTGATCATGATGATGATGACTGTGATAATCTCTTCTCCATGGCGCTCACTCACAAAAGGGGATGTGCCGAGAACCGGGCGGTAGGATGCTGGATATTTATTTAAAAAATAAAACATTGAATAAATGAAACTCCTAAATGAGCGAGCGGTCAGACTTTGGTTGCTTTCTGACGAAAATAACCATGAATTTCAAATCCAAAATATGAATAGATAAAAACAAATCACAAATACACTTACCTTGGGAATCGATGTTACGCGCAGCATGGAGATGCAAGTTTATTGTTCAGTTTTTTTTACGGA